TCTCCCCTACCTTCATCTCTAAAATCAGTAAAAAATATTTTTTTAAAATAGCTTTTAGCTGAAACCGGTTTGGCTCAGTGGATAGAACATCAGCCTGCAGACTTAAAGGTCCCAGGTTCAATTCTGGTCAAGGGCATGTACTTTGGTTGCGGGCACATCCCCAGTAGGGGGTGTGCAAGAGGCAGCTGATCGATGATTCTCTCTAATCATTGATATTTCTAACTCTCTATCCGTCTCTCTTCCTCTCTGTAAAAAATCAATAAAATATATTTTTAAAAAATAGCTTTTAGCTGGGACCGGTTTGGCTCAGTGGATAGAGCGTTGGCCTGCGGACTGGAGGGTCCCAGGTTCGATTCCGGTCAGGGGCATGTACCTTGGTTGCGGGCACATCCCCAGTGGGGGGTGTGCAAGAGGCAGCTGGTCAATGTTTCTCTCTCATCGATGTTTCTAACTCTCTGTCCCTCTCAATTCCTCTCTGTGTAAAATCAATAAAAATATATTTTAAAAAAATAGCTTTTAAACAAGATGCAAAATGTCATATACAACATTATGTTAATTTAGTTAAAATTATATCTATATGTATATGTTTAGGTAGAATCAGCAGAAGTCAATCGTCTTTCATTTTGGCTGTAAGGATTATGGATGATACTTATTGTCTTTATGTTCTTTTGTGCTTATCTGACACCACACACGGTTATTGTATTATTATTATTTTTTAAATTTTTATTGTTCATATTATTACAAATGTTCCTCCCCCCCCTCCATTGCTCTCTTCCACCAGGTTTCCACTCCATCCCCATCCCCCATTGTCCTCATCCATAGGTGCACAGTTTATGTTCAGTCTCTTCTCACATCCCCCTCTCCCTTTTCCCCAAGAATCGTCAGTTCACTCCCCTTCCATACCTCTGATTCTATTATATTCAACAGTTAATATTGTTCATCAGATTTTTTTTTAATATCCTTGGTTTTTAGATTCACTTGTTGATAGTTACGTATTTGTTGTTCATAATTTTTATCTTTATTTACTTTCTCTTCTGAAAGAACCCCCTTCAGCAATTCATACAATTCTGGTTTGGTGTTGATGAACTCCTTTAGCTTTTTTTTATTTATTAGTGAAGCTCTTTATCTGACTTTCGATTCTGAGTGATAGCTTTGCTGGATAGATTATCTTTGGCTGTAGGTTCTTACTATTCATCACCTTGAATTTTTTCTTGCCATTCCCGTCTGGCCTGCATGGTTTCTGTTGAGAAATCAGCTGACAATCGTATAGGTGCTCCTTTATAGGTAACTCCCTTCTTTGCTCTTGCTGCTTTTAATATTCTCTCTTTGTCTTTTGCTCTTGGAATTTTAATTATGATTTGTCTTGGTGTGGTCCTCTTTGGATTCCTTTTGTTTGGAGTTCTGTGTGCTTCCTGGACTTGTACGTCTAATTCTTTCACCAGGTGGGGGAAGTTTTCTGTCACTATTTCTTTCAGTATGTTTTTGATACCTTGCTCTCTCTCATCTTCTGGGACCCCCATAATTCTGATGTTGGTTCGCTTGAAGTTGTCCCAGAGGTTTCTTACATTATCTTCAATTTTCTGGATTCTCTTGCCTTCCTGCTTCTGTTGAGGAGTGTCTTCTGGCTCTTTATGTTCCAAATCTTTGACTTGATTCTTGCGATCTTCCATTCTGTTTTTAGGATTCTGAATAATATTTTTTATTTCAGACATTGTATTCTTTATTTCTTGTTGATCCCTTTTCATTTCTTGTTGATTCCTTATTAATTCTAGTTGATCTCTTTTCATATCCTCATAGGTCTTATCGATCTTTTCTAGGAAATTCTTGAAAAACCTTATAAGCGTAGATTTGAACTCTTTATACAGTCGCTTTTTGTCCTCCATTTCTTTCGTTTGTGATCTATTTCGTTGTCGCATTTTCTCAGCTTCCCTGATGGGGCGGGGTTTCAGGGTGGAGCCTACAGCCTTGGCTTCTGTCAGCCCCGCCCTATGCGGCTCCTGCCTCTCAGGGTCCTTCAGTACTCGCTGCAAGCACCTCTGAGAGAAAGGTGCCCTCGATTTTCGCCTGCTACCAAACAGTCTAGGCTCTCCCCCAATGAGCCCGGTATTGGGGTTCAGTTCAGTTGGAAGTGGAGTTGGAGGTGGCGTTCAGAGCAGTCTGGAGCCCCAGTCTCCTTCCCGCCAGGGCAATCTCACGGCACAGCCGACTGTCCTTTCTCTGCACTCAATGTGCGCACTGCCGGGACGTCCCTTCGCCGCTCCCCCGGGTTCTGCCTTTCAGCCCAGCTCCCTCTGTGTGAGCCTGAGTCCCCGGGGTCTGGCCTAGAACTGGGGTTCAGAGCAGTCAGAACTGGGGCCCAGCACAGTCGGAGTTTTATCTCCTTCCGGCTATGGAACGCCAGCCAGAAACTCAGCCGCCCTCCTCTCCGGCTCCCATCCTCTCATGCGTGCTGCGTGTCTCCGTACCTTAGGCTTTTATAGCTCCTCCGAGCTTCCTTCTGGTTTTCTCCTTGTTTCTCGCTGTAGAATTTCCAGTCAGTCGACTTTCCTGTAGTTCTGGGTAATGTCCATTTTATATTTTAGTTGTATTTTATTGAAATTGTTGCATGCGGCTGCGGCTAGGTGTCTACCTGGGTAGCCATCTTGGATTCTCTCTCATAAATAATCAGTTATTATATTATTGACTATATTCCCTATGCTGCACTTTACACCCCCATGACTACTGTGTAACTATCAGTATGTACTGCTTAATCCCTTTGTCAACCACCAATCTATTCTCTATTTCAATGAGTTGGTTTATGTTTTGTTCATTGACTTTGTTTTTTATATAAAATCATATGGTATTTGTCTTTGACTTAATTCACTCAACACAATACCCTCTATGTTATTGCAAATGGTAAAAAAAAATTTTTATGGTCAAGTAATATTCCATTATATATATATATATATATATATATATATATATATATATATGCACCACTTCTTTATCCATTCATTTATTGATGGGCACTTAGGTTGCATTTATATCTTGGCTATTGTAAATAATACTGCAATGAACATAGGAATGCAACTGTCTTTTCAAATGAGTGTTTTTGGTTTCTTCAGATAAATACCCAGAAGTGGAATTGCTGGTCCCTCTTTGACTCTGCTTTATAGGCTATTCTGTGTGGTATAAATATTGCTACCCCAGCTTTTTTTGTTTCTGTTTGCATGAAATATCTGGTATGATCTGAAGCTGGTTGTCGGGTATTTGTTCTGGACCCTCTTAGGAGGGACTTAGATGCAGGCCAAGGTCAGTTGTTGCCTGTGCATTGCCTGGGGCCACTTAATATGACCTACAAAGTGGTTTGCAGATGGTTGCCATTTGTGCTGGGCCAGGGAGAGGCTAAACTGGGAATTGAGGCCAGCTACTATTGCTGGGCTTGGGGCTGTTTAGCAAGAGGTATGGGGCACACTGACGCCAGATGCTGCTTATATAGGGTTTGTGAACCTTTGAGAGATTTTAGGAAAAGTCCACACTGTGAGCAAAGACAGGCCATTTGTATGAAAAAACTACCGGCTGGCCCACACTTTATACACCATTATCCTGTATTTGCTTATTTACGTTTACCAGAGAGTTTTGTATGTTTGTATGCTTTCATGTTGCTAAAATCTCTTCAACTTTCAGAACTTCCTTTAGCATTTCTTGAAAGGCACATATCTAGTAATGATGAGCTTCCTTAGCTTTTCTTCATCTGGAAAAGTATTTCTTCATTTGTGAATTATAGTTTAGCTGGAGAGTATTGTCAGGTGTTTTTTCTTTAGAACTTTGTATATATTATCCCACTCCCTTCTGGCCTCTACTGTTTTTGCTGAGAGATCTACTGATTATTTTATGGAAGCTCATTTGTAAGCGATAAGTCACTCTCCTTTTGCTGCTTCAAGATTCTGACTTCTAAAAGTTTCTGGATTTCTCATAAAAGCATTTTGGCCTCTATATTATTGCTAAGTTGGTGTCTCTGTGGGGAATGAGGGTAGGAACTTCCTACCCCACTATCTGGTTGTCACCTTCCCTTAATATTTTAAAAAATATATATATTTTATTTTTATAGAGGAAGGGAGAGGAATAGAGTTGGAAACATCGATCAGCTGCCTCCTGCACACAACTACTGCGGATGTGCCCGCAACCAAGGCACATGCCCTAGACCTGAATCAAACCTGGGACCCTTCAGTCTGCAGGCCGATGCTCTATCCACAGAGCCAAACCAGTCATGACCCCTTAGTATTTTAACAAGGAAAACAGGACCAAGCTAAGTACTATGAAGTAGGGTATATCCTTTATTATAAGGCCTTACAGATGAGAAAGCCAATGCACGCAGAGGTAACAAAGCCAATTAGCAGATATATAAGATCATGTGTAAAAAGTGACTGCTGTGTAGTAGGCACTTACTTAAAAATGGAAACTGATTTTATTATTTCTTTTATACTAAAATTCGAGTTGGGGAAATTATTGGAGATTATTGTTGTGCCCAATATAACCACAGGGATCCTTATAAGTAAAAGAGTCCATGAGCCAAAGAATGTAGCTTCTGTAAACTGAGAAGGTGTAGGAAACGGATGCTCTCCTGGAGCCTCCACAGGGAATGCAGACCTGCTAACACTTAGAAGAGTGAGACCTATTTTGGGCTTCTGACTTCTAGAATTGTAAGGAACTTGTGTTGTGTTAAGCCACTAAGTTTGTGGTAATTTGTTATAGCAGAAACAGGAAACTAATACAGAAATCTGAGTTAAAAAAACTAAAAAGACATGTCATGAAATTACTTAGGAAATATTTTATTGTACAAAATATATATTTGTTTTATATGATGAAAAGCATAGCAAAACCAATCTTTTGCTAATCCATTTTTTCTGTAAAGAGTTAAGATTTATTTTCCATTACATCAGATAATACAACTTTTATACAGTTAACAGTGATGTTGGTAATAAGTGTCTTAGGACATAAGGTATAAAAATTAAAACAGATCAGAAAAGCGCAGGCGGAAGACCACTGCCAAAGAGCAATCTCCAAGAACTCGGTATTTTCCACGGCAAGGCAGATGCTGTGGGGTCGTCACTCTGTAACTGAAGAACAAAATGTTTTAATCCTTCATCTTTACCAACAGATTACCTTTTAACATGTAAGTATCAATGTTAATCCCTAGTTTTTTGTTTTTTGTTTCCTTCCTTTTGATTTCGACACTTTCAGCTCCATTTTATTGTAAGGAAAAACAAAGCAATAAATTTCTGTCTATATGTCAACTTAAGTTTCCTCAAGTTTCAAATCATAAAGATATGCCAGAAAGGCTGTGTATAGATTCTACCAAGTAAAATCAAGTTCAAAAGAAATAGGTATTTAAAAAAAAAAAATCAGTGCTATCAATATATCCATTTTTTAGCAAAATCATAAATTAAAAAGACAGTTACCTACCATATAAAACAGCCTTATGGGATTTAAAGGCTGATTTCTCTGAGTGTGATGTTCTTATTTCATAATAGAGAAAAGTATTTTAATTATAATGTGTATTCGGTAGCTACAGTATTGCTCATATAACAATACCTTTTGTTTTCTAAAAAAGGAATCCTGAATTCCAAAAAGAACTTGTTTATTTTCATAAGAAGCTTTTGGTATAAATGTAATATGAACGATGAATACAATGAAGTACTTAAGATATTCCTTTTTTTGGAGAATCAGCCTTAATGAAACACCTGTAAACAGCAGGTTGGTTAACTGCCCTCCTTTAAAAAGTTCAGTTAAAATAAACTTTACGTAGAAACACGTTTATATTCAACATTAACCTTTACTTATTTGGTCTACTTTTACAGTATTTATATAAAATACAAGTTTATTAATATATAACCAGAGAAATCAGAAGATCAAGCTATAGGAAAAACTTACATGTGGTTTGATTATCTGAAGCCATTCATTAAGATATTCAACAAGACCTAATGCATCTGGAATATTATCTCCTTCTGAAACAAATTTTAGCAGAACAGCCATTGGGATTTCTTTAGAACAGCTACAACAAATTAAAAAAACAATTTAAGTATTCTGATAAAAGATGCTGATTTCAGCTAAGAACTTTGAGCATTTAACTTTAGCTAAGATAATCTAGGTTTTGGGCAAGGAGAAGATACCCATATGAAATCAGTTATCTATCTCCTGTTACCCCAGATACTTCTTCTGTTTGTGCAGACAGGACTTGGAGCCACCCATGTAAGCCCACCTAGGCATATGCAAGTTTGTGCCTCACACCAAGGAGTGAAAAACCACTCCTCTAACCTTGGTTATAGAACATGAGGTATGTTTTGATCTACTCCTAAAACCTACTGTAGAAACAGCTATTTTTCAGAAGCCACAGCAGAGACTGAAAGATTTTAACATCTTAAAAAAAAAAAATATATATATATATATATATATATATATATGTATATGTATATGTATATATATATATTATTGATTTTTCACAGAGAGGGATAGAGAGTTAGAAACATCGATGAGAGAGAATCATCGATTAGCTGCCTCTTGCACACCCCCTACTGGGGACATGCGTGCAACCAAGGTACATGCCCTCAACTAGAATCGAACCCGGGACCCTTCAGTCCGCAGGCCGACGCTCTATCCACTAAGCCAAACCGGTCCCGGCAACATCTTATTATTCAAAAGCAGCGAAAGAAAACTGTGGAACAGAATAAGGGGGCAGGGGCCGTGAAACCTTACTATTAGTTCTTACATTTATTGAGTGATTATTATGTGCTAAGTAATGTCTGCCTATTTTATTACTTAATCCCTACCACAATCATTGAGAAAGTTATAATTATACAGATTTCATAAATCAATCAGTTTGGAATGGGAACAAGGACAGAGTACCTGGATTCAACTTCTAGCTCTGCCACTTACCAGATTATGTCGGGCAAGTTACTTAATCAAGGCTTTAGTGTTCCTCTTCTGTAAAAGAGGGATCATAACAGAACTGACCTCATAGGGTTGTTGTGATGTTAAAAGGCAGCAGTGATGGCAAAGTGCTTAAAACAGTGCCCATAATTAATGTTAGCAATTAATTATGAGGTAACTTAGGTTCACAGGGATTTCAATATAGTTAACAGGTTCAAAGTTCTATATGTAGGAAATGGCAGAGGTGGCACTTGAAGTGAGGTCTTTCTGACTCCAAACGTAAGTTGTCTAATTGCTATGTTATAAATGCCTCAAACTAGTAACAAGATGGAGATCTTACCAATGCAAAAAGCTTCCTGTTTGCCAACAAAAGCAAAAATAATTTCTAACACCCTAAAACCAAGCACCATGAGAAAAACTGTACCAAAACTTGAGAGCACATGACTGACAGAGCTACAGATTTAAGATGTGGAGGAGAATTTGACGTTTCAGTTCAAAGGTCTCAGCTGTACAGGGAGGGCCTATCACAGCATGTCAGCTTAAAAATTAGAAGCTGGAAGTTGTTAGCACTAATTGTACCATCTCAGTACACAGTTCTGAAATATCTTAGGGACTCTCTGGCTTTGTATGGAAGAACTGTGAGCAGTGTTGGCTCAGAAAATTCTAGTTCCTGAATACTCATGTCATGACAGCCTTAGAATGGCTCATGCTGAGAGAAAGCCAGCCACCCTGGTGTGCCTTCATTTTAAAGGCTCTAGCTTAACAAGTGCTGGGGTATGGTCTTAAACCTACAGTGCCCCACACTACTATTTTGTAACAAAAATCTATATATATAAAAGTGAGGACATTACTACTGACTTTACAGAAATAAAATAGGAATTATTATTTAATGCAACAGATTTTCTGTTTAAAATGATGTGTGTTCTGAAAGTGATGATGGGTTCATAACACTGTGAATGTATTTAATGCCACTTAATTGTTCACTTAAAAATGGTTAATTGTTCACTTAAAAATGGTTAATGTGCTGAAACCGGTTTGGCTCAGTGGATAGAGCCGTTGGTCTGCGGACTGAAAGGTCCCGGGTTTGATTCCGGTCAAGGGTATGTACATTGGTTGCGGGGACATCCCCGGTTGGGGGGTGTGCAGGAGGCAGCTGGTTGATATTTCTCTCTCATCGATGTTTCTAACTATCTTTCTCTCTTCCTCTCTGTAAAATATCAATAAAATGTATTAAAAAAATATTATAGCCCAGTTGGCGTGGCTCAGTGGTAGAGCATTGAACTGTGAACCAGGAGATCATGGTTCGATTCCCAGGCAGGGCACGTGCCCAGGTTGTGGCTTGATTCCCAGTGTGAGGTGAGCAAGAGGCAGCCAATCAATAATTCTCTCTCATCACTGATGTTTCTCTCCCTCTCCTTTCCTCTCTGAAATCAATAAATATAAACAAACAAAAACAAAAAAAACCCAAACCAAAACATTAAAAAAAGAAAAAAAAGAAAAAAGAAAAAATATAGAGGTTGCATTGAGTAAGTGTCAGGATCCCTAAGATGCCACACATAATAAAGTGCTGAATAAGGCTTTTCAGGACCTATTCTCCTATCATCAAATTCCAATCTTTCCCCTGAATGTGATTTCCATTTTATAAATATACTAGAGGCCTGATGCATGAAATCCATGCACTGAGGGGGTGGGGAAAGGTGGTTTGTCCTTCAGCCTGGCCTGTGCTCTCTTGCAGTCCCAGTCCAGGACCTCTCAGGGAATGTCCGCCTGCCAGCTTAGGCCCGATCAATGGGGTTGGGGGATATCCCCTTCCTATCCCCTGATTCCTTTCAGGGATCGGGCCTAAGCCAGCAGTCAGACATCCCTCTCACTATCCAGGGCTCTCACAGTCCGGAATCCTCACTCCTCACACCCACCTGCAGTGGAGGAAGGAGGGGTCCTGCCACCACCTCTGGGCTTGCCAGCGGTGAGCCCGGCTTCTGGATTTGCATATTACTCTTTTATCATAAAGGATTTTCAACGTTTCAATAAGCAATCCAACAATTCTCCAAATTATCTTACTTTCATATTTAAATTAAGCAGGGAACAAATGAACAAAGGGGCAAACAAACTCACCTTTCATCATAGAGTGTTTTTGTGATACCTCCTCCAGGTATACGGATGCAATACTCAGAATCACTTATTTCAGGAATGCATGGGCTTTTTTCCATTTCTGCCCAGTTAAGGCTTTTTATTTTATTTTGAACACTTTTTTGCAGGGAAGGTGTAAGTAGATACCTAAAGGGAGTACTAGAAACCATTACATAATTAACTTTCTAAAAATTCACCAATATAAACATGAAGGCAAAAATTAGTTCTTTTAGAAAAAATTATCTTACATTCTCTATTCCATTGTACAAGGCAAACCTAAGTTGTAGCAATCTTTGGAAGAATAACATGTAAAAAATATTGCTCTGACTCGCTATTTACAGAGAGATGGTAAAAAGATAGGAATATTTTAACTAAGGTAAGACCATCATGAAGATAAATTTAGTTTTCACAGCTATGCTCCCTTCTGGCCATGAGGCCTATTGTGAGATTCCTAGAAATTAGCTCCAGTTTTGAAAGGTTACTCTTGGTTGATACTTTTCATCATGATTTTATAGGTGCATAAATGATCATGCAATAAAATAGATTATATTGCTATTTCTTGGATACTCTGTCTTATATTAAATTTAGGTACCCTTTCTCCTCTCTGTGATGTTTCTCTCTCCCCCTTAGCTCTGTGATGTTGCATGCACAGTACCACACAATCAAAGCACAGTTCCAGAACCATCTGTGTGTGTGTGTGTGTGTGTGTACATATATATATATATATATATATTTTTTTTTTTTTAATTTATTTTTTTATTTTACTGTCCTAAGTTGTTTCTTAGGTAAGAATTTTACAAACATTACTTCTATCAGCAGTAATGGTGGAGCCGGAGAGCATTGCGCCTTCTCCAGGCTGCACAGCGACAACCACCAATAGTGTGGTGGGACTCGTGGCCCTTCCCAAAGCCACAGCGTTTGCCGGCAGATGTCAGCCCTCGCATCTCTCTGTGCTTGTGGACTGGTCTGGTGATCCAACGGGTGTCAGGATTTCTTATGGAAAGGATCAATGAGGATAACCTCAAAGAATTTGTACGTGGAATCTTCACCAACCGGTAAGAATTCAAGACTCTCAGAGCCCTACAGTGGCATCCAGCTCGCTCCTTGGCAACAGACTGAAGACTTTGAGCAAACTTTAGCTGGTCAATACTATGATGGAATGGCGTGCCGTAGGTCGCACCCTTAGGAACAGGCGTTTGTGGCCGCCACAGCACAAAGAAATCTGATATATTGCATAACCTTGCTTGGCCTTGTAGCCCAGCCTGTGCACTTTGTCGAGCTGGGTGGGCATGGGGCTCTGTGGAGTGCAGAGCTGGTGGTACTGCCTGCAGCGCACCCTGAGAAGGAAGCCATTGCACTAGACTGCTCCTTCCTCCATAGCTCCTGGATGGATTTGTAAGTGCCCATCTTGGTTTGCCTGATGGCTGCGGCCAGACGGAAAAACCAGAACCATCTGTATATTTACACCAAAGCTTTCCTTGTGCCCCAACTAAGGAACTGAAAGAGTCTACCTAATTGTACTCCCTCCTCTCTCTTGACTTTCTTTTACCTTCTTCTTTCTAAATTTCAGAGAGGAGAGGTAAAGATAATACATGACTTATAAAACTTATTTTAACTTTTTAATAGATAAATCATCATAATATTGCATAATCTTTACAAAAATATTTTTTCAAAGGCAAAAACATACCTGCGAAGCTGTAGATCATTACGGTGATATGAATGACTGCTTGAAAGAACAATAACTTTGGCAAGGTTACTACTTTTCACCCATGAAAGCAGTTTTTCACAGAATGGCTTTGATTTATACTTTGTATATGTTGCGGGGGGGAAAAAGAAAATCTAAAAGTTAGGTCCTACAGTATAAAAGGATTCTCTATAATATTTCATCAACTTTATCTCATGATATATAAAGTAAATACACTAAAATTAGAATTGTTTTAAAATCCAGTTATAGTCCTTAAACTGAAGGTGAAGAATGAAGAGCAATGAATTACATATTATATCTTTTCAATCTATATACTACGGTAGTATTAATATATAAAAGCCTAAGCAACCGAACAACCAGTAGCTATGACAAGCATTGATCACCAAGGGACAGACACTCAGCGCCCAGGATTGGGCTCCCTCCTATCTCAATCAGGCCTGCGGGGATTGGGCCGAAACAGACTATCCAATGAGGGGTCCTGGATTGCAAGAGGGTGCAGGTCAGGCCGAAGGACCCCACCAGTGCACGAATCTGTGTACTGGGCCTCTAGTTTAGAAATAAATTGTGAGAAATCTAGATTTTAAAAAAAATTCTATTTTGATTAACAAAGGAAAATTTCCAAGTACTCCAAATAAGTAATCCATTATTACTTAAAAAATGTCTGACCTGGCCGAGGCTGGTTTGGCTCAGTGGATAGAGTGTCGGCCTGCGGATTGAAAGGTCCCGGGTTCGATTCCAGTCAAGGGCATGTACCTTGGTTGCAGGCACATCCCCGGTAGGGGGTGTGCAAGAGGCAGCCGATCAATGATTCTCTCATCGATGTTTCTAACTCTCTATTCCTCTCTCTTCCTCTCTGTAATTAAAAAAAAAAAAAAAAAAAAAAAAAAAAAGTCTGACCTGTATTTAATCATGATGAAGCAATTAGATGATTCCATTATGCCAAACAACTGGTTTTATTTTCTCAAAGGAGTCAATATTGTGAAGACCAGAAAGGAGGGCCAGTTCTACAGTGAAGGATTCCAACTAAAAATTCTTAATTTCTAATGATACTTAGTATTTTCTCATATTTTATTTTAATAAATTTTAAAAGGCAAATATAATATGCTAACCTTAATAAAGATGGACCTTAACTGAAGAACCACCAGCTTCTTTGAAGGCAATGAATATACTGTAAAGATAAGAAGAAAATGAAATCATACAAAAGTTAAAATGAAGGAGTTATAGAAATGAAACTATTAGCCATCCAAGTACCTGTAAATAGACAAAAGGATAAAGAAGTTGTAGTACATATACACAATGGAATATTACGCGGCCATAAAAAAGAATGAAATCTTACCATTTGCAACAGCATGGATGCACCTAGAGTAATATGTTAAGTGAAGGGATTAAGAACTGCAGATTGGTAGTCACAAAATAGTTCTGGAATGGAAAGCACACCCTAGGAAACAGTGAAAATAACGTAATAACTTTGTCAGGTGGGTCCTTTAAATATTGGGGGAACTAATTTGTAAAGTATATGACTGATTAACCACTATGCTGAAATTAATACAAATATTGAACATAAACTGTAATTTGTGCATGGGTAGGGCCCCTAGTGGCTGCCAGTTGGACCTGCCCCCTGGTCAAACTCCTGGTGGAGGGGACAATTTGCATATTAGGCTTTTAATATATAGGATGGTATTTTACTTTTGTAAGGAAATTTTCTTAAAGGATAAGAGATGCACACTTACATATTTAAGGTGAAATGTCATGTCTATAATTTATTTCAAAATACTTCATCTTAAAAAAAAATCAATAAAATATATTAAAAACAAAACAAACAAAACATAGCCTGGCCAGTGTGGCTCAGTGGTTGAGTATCAACCTATGAACCAGGATATCACGGTTCGATCCCAATCAGGGCACACGCCTAAGTTGGGGCTCAATTCCTGGTGTGAGGTGTGTAGGAAGCAGCCGATCAATGATTCTCTTTAATCATTGGTATTTCTGTCCCTCCCTCTCCTTTCTTCTCTGAAATCAATAAAAAAATATTTTTAAAAAAGAAAGGAGATTAAAGAACTATCATTGACTTGTTGACAGTTTGTGTCCATGAAAATCGGTAGGTCCTCCTTTAGAATGAAGATACATTAGGGTGGTTTGGTACTTAAGAGTTAGCCTCAGGGACCAGAGTGGCTCGATTAGAAGCTCATTTATACCAATCATTAATCATGTGATCTTAACTTCTCTGTGCAATGGTTTCCTCATCTGTAAAAATACCTATGGAATAATTGTGAGGATTAAATGAGTTAACACATATAAATGCACAATGTTCAGTTTATAGATAATATTAGTTGTTATCATTAATAGAAAATTAAAAACTCTAGTTCTAATTTTTATAGTCCTTTATCCTTTAAGGAGATAACTGAAATTACATCTTCTATTAACAAAGCCATCTTTCCTGTAGGAATTTCATTATTAAGGTGATTTTTTTTATTATCACAAGATAATAACATGATAATAAGATTAACAAAAAACAAAATGCTTTTTCTTTTTAAAATATATTTTACTGATTTTTTTACAGAAAGGAAGAGAGAGGGATAGAGAGTTAGAAACATCGATGAGAGAGAAACATTGATCAGCTGCCACTTCTTTTTTTTTTTTTTAAATAGTACTTGGAGATCTTTTTTTTTTTAATATCTATTTTATTGAGTTTTTACAGAGAGGAAGAGAGAGGGATAGAAAGCTAGAAACATTGATCAGCTGCCTCTTGCACACCCCCTGCTGGGGATGTGCCTGCAACCAAGGTACATGCCCTTGACCGGAATCGAACCTGGGACCTTTCAGTCCGCAGACCAATGCTCTATCCACTGAGCCAAACCAGTTTAGGCAATTCAATCTTTCCGAGCCTCACTGATAACATATAATAACGTGAGAGGAGGACTGAAGCTTAGATGAGATAGTACCTACTAAACATACTGAGGACTGAGCCCAATGGAATACTCTTTTCTCCTTTCCTTGTATGACTGATGCTGACACATGCTAGTGAGAACAAAAAATAAAAGTGGGGATAAAAGGGGAAAAAAACACCAAAACACCCCAGGTTAAAAAACACACAACAATTTCAAATTCTATCCAAGGACACAAGTACAATCACATTCTCATAGGAGTTGCCATTTAGAAAAGGCTATGAGAATAGGACAATGTGACTGGGGCATCAATTCTGCACAAAGCTGGCATCAAGGAAATGTCTGCTACCGAACAATGTCTATAGCGTCTATTGCAAATGTAAAACAACTCTATCTTGCGGTAGAACAAAATACGCCGAAATCTTACATACCTTCAGCATTTGTACTGAGTTCTGTTGAATTTTTTTCTGATGTTGCATATGGATTATTTCCAACCATCGGCACAAGACAATCGGTATAGAAGTAACCAATTTTACACATATTCAATGTAGAAATAATCAGATCTATTGCAAGCTGGCCAACATTTCCAACGGATACTGCCGGCTGAAATTTTTTTTTTTTTAAAAAGACATCAACATTAGCAGGACATTTTTTATTTATAAAATATATAAATACATTTAATTTAAACCAGGGACCTTTCAGTCCGCAGACCCACGCTCTATCCAGAGAGCCAAATCGGTTTCGGTTGCATCCACAATCTTCAAAACAGTTCAACTTTGGAAAGTAAATGTCTTTATAATCACTCAAAGTGTGTGTATACATTTTTGGGGGGGACACCTGATAGACACAAGCCCTCTCTTTCCCCCAGGGCCGGTGATACCCCCGAGTTGGGGTGGCGGCACCGCAGGCTCCTTCCGAAAGGCGGCCGGCCCCCCCGTAGTCGGGCCGCGGAGAGGCCGGGGACTCACCATCAGGAAGGTGAAGCCCGCGAGGTCGCAGACCGACTCGCCGCAGGGAACAAACATGGTCTCAGTGGAGTGCAGGACAGGGGTAAACCCTGGCCTTGGAGGAAGGAGGGAGGCGGGAAAGCGAAATTCACAAGCGCCCGCAGGGTCGGCAAACTCGCGTCCCTAGTGACGCATGCGCGGCGGGGCCTGGCGAGCGGGGTCCTTCGAATCCCTCGGCGCGGGGTCCTGAGGGGCCTGTCCAGCTACCTGCCGGTCCAGAAGGCAGAAAGGGCCCGCGAGGGAGGGAGCGATGGCGGATAGCGGGTCCGGACAAGGTGTTGGGCGGTCCGGACAAGGTGTTGGGGCGCGCTGAGGTTGTGAGGTGGGAACCGTGAGGGAGGGCAAACGGCAGGTGGAAGCGATCCGGCAGAGCGGGGGACAGCCCTGCCTCCTGGCGGCCCGCGGCCGTTTCAAAACCACAGTTGGGCGCCACCGCCGCGGCGGCCTCGCCTCCTGCCCAGCCCCTCGCCTGGCGCGGCGTAGCGTCTCCCCCGGGAGCTGCGCGAGGCGGGCGGTCGCGCCGGCTCCGTGCTCAGCCCGGACTAAGAAGGCTCCGTGGCGGGCCGGGGCGCGCCGCGCCGCGTGGTGGGAGCCCCTGCAGTGAGACGCCGGCCCCAGCATGTCGCTGCCTCCGGAGAAGGCCTCTGAGCTGAAGCAGCTCATCCACCAGCAGCTGAGCAAGGTGAGGGCCACGGCCGCCCCTGCCCGTCGTGTGGCCCCGAGTCTGGGTCCCCCCGAGTCTGGGTCCCCCCGAGTCTGGGTCCCCCCGAGTCTGGGTCCCCCCGAGTCTGGGTCCCCCCGAGTCTGGGTCCCCCCGAGTCTGGGTCCCCCCGAGTCTGGGTCCCCCCGAGTCTGGGTCCCCCCGAGTCTGGGTCCCCCCGAGTCTGGGTCCCCCCGAGTCTGGGTCCCCCCGAGTCTGGGTCCCCCCGAGTCTGGGTCGCGGCCCGGCTTCTGCGGCACCTGTTGGCGGGGGGACTCGAGCCGGGACTGGAAGACGCAGAGCGCAGGATGCGCACAGCCTCGCTGTGAAGCGGGTTAATTTTCTGGCCCGGACAAAAAGAAAGTTCTAGTAAGAGTCCGAGGCCATAGGATTAGAGACAGTTGTGAAAAGGTAGCTTTATGGGAAGCCACATAGAGTATAGGTGGTTTTTGGAGAAGGGTTCCATTCAGAGTCAGGAAATGGAATTGCTTGAAGGAGGAAACTGGAGGTGTCGCTGGTGTTGAACCAAATCATCGATTCTTTAAAAAAATATTTTATTGATTTTTTTTTTTTTTTTTTTTTTTTTTTTTTTTTTTTTTTTACAGAGGAAGAGAGAGGGATAGAGAGTTAGAAACATCATGAGAGAGAAACATCGATCAGCCGCCTCCTGCACACTCCCTCTGGGGATGTGCCCGCAAACCCAGGTACATGCCCTTGACCGGAATCGAACCCCGGACCTTTCAGTGGGCAGGCCGACGCTCTAGCCACTGAGCCAAACCGGTTTTGGCGAAATCATCGATTCTTAAGGCATGGGCGGGTTTGTAAGGACATGGTCTCTCGGAGGTGCTCAGTGGAATGCAATCAGCTGAAGTAACAAAGCTGCCGCTTATTGTGCACGCGTGTGCCTGGCTTTGTGCTGTAAGCATCTCCTGACCCCCCTCCTCCCCCCCAGGGCACCCCTTTTCCCAGATTCATGGAGGGTTAGTAAGCCAACTGCAGGCCACATCTAGTAAGTTGAAAGCTGGCATTCAAGGCTTTGCCGCCTCCAGGTCTGTGTTCTTTTCATTACACCATACATTTCTCTCAGACGTTTGTTTCGGTTGAGTATGTTATCTGTAGGGAAATAGTAAACAAAGGTAGTATATAGTAACCAGGAGGGATTATTTTCTAGAATTTGCATTAAAAATTTTATCTTAAGTTGTTATTATTTTTCCTTTTGCCAAGCTACTTTATTCTCATTGAATTCTGGTAAAAATTTTAGGTTTGCTATTAGCTGGCGAAGCCTTCCTGAATTGAGTCTTGTCTTTATTCTGCCATTATATTTTTGCTTTGTCAGTGTTTTAGAAATAAATTAACTGTCAATTGCCACTGATTTTTTTCAGTGTTTAAAAGAAATTAACTAAGCAATCTTCAACTGCTTTGTAAGGCTGTAAGTTGTAATGCGAGTTTTTTGTGTATAGATGGACGTGCATGGCAGAATAAGAGAAATCCTTGCCGAGACTATACGGGAAGAACTGGCTCCTGATCAACAACAGTTATCAACAGAAGATTTGATCAAAGCTCTTAGACGTCGGGGAATCATTGACGATGTGATGAAAGAACTTAATTTTGTTACTGTGAGTAATCTTTTAGGGGGAAAATTTGAGGGTATAAATTATGTTTGGGGGTCTCTCCTTTTAGCAAAACCACTTTAAAATAAGATAATTTTTGTCCAGTAGTATCCTTGTTTCAAGTATAAGCTAATGTTACCAGGCTGGTATGTCTCAGTTGGTTGAGCATCGCCTCATTTATCAAAAGGTTGCCAGTTCAATTCCTGGTCAGGACACGTACATACATATCCAGATTTCGGGTTCAATCTCTGGTTGGGATGTGTATTGGAGGCAACCAATTAATGTCTCTTTCTCCCTCCCCCTTCTCCTCTCTCTAACATCAATAAAAATATATATATTTTAAAAGTATAAGCTAATGTAAAAAGTAGGATTATGTATCAATGAAATTGGAGTTATATACCATATTTCTCTCTACAATGTCAGAATTTTTTCCTTATTTATTCTTTAGGACTGTAACTTTAAGTATATATATTTTAATAACAGTTCATCATAACCTCTTTCTTTTTCACTAACTTTGTTCTAGTATACTTTTTAAGATTAGGCTTATTTTTTATTTATTTATTTATTTTTTAAATATATTTTATTGATTTTGTACAGAGAGGAAGGGAGAGAGAGAGTTAGAAACATCAATGAGAGAGAGTCATCGATCAGTCGCCTCTTGCACACCCCCTACTGGGGATATGCCCGCAACCAAGGTACATGTTCCCCTCACTGGAATCGAACCCGGGACCCTTCAGTCCTCAAGCTGACTGAAGTCCATTGAGCCAAACTGGTTTCGGCTAGGCTTATTTTTTAAATAAGCACTGTTTTGGGACAATATTCTCTGTGATTAAGAAATTAGCAATTTAAGAAAATAATTGTCTACATAAGAACTTTCAAATCTTTTCATATAAATAGGTCAGTAGTGGGATGGTAGCCTTTCAGTGCATAAATTAGTAAGTAGGCCTTTTTTTGAAAATGAGGCAATAATGAGAAACTGTGACCTCAATACTGAGTAACATAATGTTAAAATTGGATGGACTTCATAATACACCAGGGAATAAGTATTTTAATAATACAGCATCCTTTTTTGCTTTTTGAGATTTGTAAACCCATTTGTTAAAAAGTTGACCTAGTAACAGCTTTTGCTGTGTGAATTACTTCCTTATTAAAATCAGTTCATGGCAGAATCAAAAGCCAAATGTTATATGAGGTTTGGAGAAAGATTAACCTTGTTTAAGATATTAGGGATTTGTTTTTAGCATTCTGTGGACAGTTTAATTTCTTAACAGTAGACTTTAGGAATAACCAGTTGCATTGCCTCTTTTGAAGGCTTTTCATTTTAATTAAGGGGGTCTTTTGAGGGGCTTTATCCTATTTACTTTTGTTGATTTACTTTTGTCTTAAGTTCCATTATTGACATTTTTCTTAACTATAATTTTGTTTTCTAATTTGTTCTGATTTTCTTTCTGCCTTTCTAGGATAATGTTGATCAAGAAATCCCTCATTCTCCAAAGCAACCAGTTTGTTTTACTGATAAACAATCAACATTGTTAAAAAAAAGTATGTGTATTTTTTTTTTTTTTTTAACATTTAGTTAGGATAGTTCTGAGGATAGATGTGCTACAGTATTTGGTATTTGTTAGAAAACTTCTCAGTCTTCTCCTCTCTTCCCCCTCCCCCCGCCCCGAATGAAATACTTACATTTTTGTTAGTAATTATCCAAAAAAAAACTTAGATTCTGTTTTCCATGAAGTATGTCAGAAGATTTAATGTATAGCACAGTGGAAGCAAAAACACCTATTTCACATGTTTTAATGATACATTTTATAAAAATTGTATAGCCCTGCTTTTTTAATGGTAATGTAATTATTTCACAAGTGCACTTTGCTGAGTTGAGGTAATTGTCTGAGTTGGTTTGTGGAGGTGAAGGAATGTTGGATAAGCAATAACAGCAAAGGTATCCTAAACCTTGGCTGTGACTCCTTTCTAGCTGGGAGAAAGTAGCCAGAATGTAAACTCAGAAAAAGGTACATACTATGTATTTTTGCTTCCCTGGGTGCAAATGGTCCTGGTATACAGTAAATGCGTTATGTTTTTGCCCCCATCCACACCTCATGCTGTCTTTGGTTTTATTTCTGTCAAGTTATTATTTCCTGTTATCTTGATCAGATTTCTTAAGTTATTTGGCAGTTTCCTCATATATATTGCTACACTTTGCAGCTAATATTGATCCAACACGGAGGTATCTTTACCTTCAGGTTTTGGGTGGAAAAGCTTTCTTGGAACATCTGCAAGAACCTGAGCCTTTACCAGGACAAATTTGTTCAACTTTTACATTATGTTTGCATTTTCGAAACCAACGTTTTCGTTCTAAACCTGTCCCATGTGCCTGTGAACCAGATTTTCATGATGGCTTTTTACTTGAAGTACACAGAGAAAACTTAGGTAAGGAACAATAATAATTTGTCTTTAATTGAGTAAATCTTTGTGAAGTTTTTATTGCAGAACAATAACTTGCTATAAGGAGAGATTTATGATGGATGTCCCTTCATCCTTAGACTTAAAAAATTTTCCCCTCCATTGCTCTTTTCTATATAAACTACTTCTAACTATTTTCTTGCTTATTTTCTGCTAATTAATTTTCCCTGAAGATTATGTTTTGACTGTTTTAATGGTTGGTTGTTTAGTAATAAACATTTAAATACATATTAGGTGCATGATACTAT